GACAGGGTCGTCCCAATATGCGTTTTTGCAATTTGCATATAGGCAAAAACGCATAAAAAGGGTTGGTGATGAAAAGTGCCAATATATATAAGGGCAGGTTGCATGTAGATGGTGTTGTCTTGCAAGAAGTTAACAGTGGATATCTTACTTCGCCAAGAAGCAACTGTACATGGAGCGGCTGCGAAATGCAATTTTCACAGCATCCTCGACAACGGCAAAATGTCGAACCGGAAGGAGAAAGTACACTTCTCAATAAAACTATGCTGAGCTGAACAACCAAATAAATAGCTACTCGGACCGAAAATTAAAATCAGTAATGAGTTTTTGCACTGTCCCTACGTTACAGTTTAACACGTCAACACATGTGCATTTAGCGCTTTCTTGCATGAAATGAGAAAAAGGGTCGGCTGAGATGACGGTGTTGCGACATGGAGCCACGTAAACCACCAGCATGCATGATTATCAATTTTGCATGAAGATTGGTCGTTTTTCTAATGATCTGTCGATCATCGAAAAATGCATGTTTTGCAATGCACAAACAGAAGGATTATGAAATCCACAAAATGCAGTCGCTTTTGAAACTGAGATAAAATTGGGTATTTCTGATCATTATGCGGAGAATTTGGCCACCCGGCTGTATTTAGACGACATATGAATGCAGTATATTCTTGCAAAGTTAAAGCCTCGTAGCTTACACAGTAAGTGAAGTAGCCGCTTCTACAAATATTTTTGAAGTGCCCTAAATCGTGGCGCAAGCGCAAATTGTAAGTCGTTTTAGGTAAATGGGCAGTAAATCTCCCGGCAAACTTTCACCTGCTGTTTTCCGGCTAGGTGGCGCAGTGCTAATTGCGAATTTTGACGTAACTATACGTGTGGCGTAGGCATGAGCGAACCTGAATTTGAAGTTTGCTCACGCATAGACAAAGTATATCGGTGTTAAATTTCAGCTTCCTAGCTGTTTTAGTTTTCGAAATTGTTTTCCCGCCACAAAATATTAATGTTTTCTTCCATACTTGAGACGTAGACGTACACGAGTTTTTCCGTTCCACTGAGCTGTTCAAATTTAACGGCTTTTTGACTAGTAAGAAAAAAATTCTACACATGCATCGACGTTCAAAGTACGTGCTGCATGAGTGTTTCGGATATTTGTAGCTAGCATGCTGTAAGCTCTGAATAGAGACGAAGTTGGGGATAGGGAAAAGTGATCGGACAGTCGTCACTGCTTTGGCTTCTCCTGCTTCATCACTTTTTGTTCTCTATATCATCTGCAAATTCCACAACAAATACTGTAGATGATGCAGCGGAAATTCATTTGCCGAAGCAGTCTGTCCGAACTTCGGACCTATTGCAGATCCCTAGAGTTCTCATCAACCGCCACCTTTCTTACTCATTTTCCAAAAAAAATCCCTGCCACGTTGTAAACTCAATATGCCCTGAAACTGTTTCAAAGCTCATTGTTGCGCACTAAACAGAGTTGCGCTTTACTACTCACCTGAGACGCGTATTTTTACCCCTTACTTGTAGCTCAGGATCGAAAGCCTGACACAGTTGCTCGCGGCCTATGGGGGCATCGTATCTTGGTATTTTTAGTAAAATTTCTAGTTATCTCACAGTGGTGGCATTTGTCTTGTTTCAAGTAATGAAATTCATCTGGTCAGTCGTGTATTTTGCTGCACTTTAGGTAAGGCAAAATTCGAGCCGGAATGTATTCGAAATAGCTTATGCAATTACATCATGTATGCATTCGCTAAAATAGACAATGAAGGCACAACATGGTGAGCTTGCTCTCTATTCAAATGCGAAGCATCTTAAGCATGATTTTTGTTTTGATTTGTAGCGATTCTGGCTGCAAGATTCGAACTGATTGTCCACGTTCCAAAAAGTCCAGTGTCGGAAAACAAATGCATTGAATAGACTGCCATTCACCTAGCCAAATGCATTAAAAAAGATAGTTTTTAACAACATACATAATAAATGCGAAAAAAAAAACCGAATAACATTTGCAGTCCATTCAAATGGAACGATGACAATTCCCAATGTACACAAGGGGTGTATTCCCGGGTAGTGGCACATAAACGTAACAATCCATCTCTCAAGGTCCTTCTTTCTTATGGCGGATACAACTTTGGTTCACCAATTTTCACTGTTAGTTTTCTAGTGTCTATTTTTTCGCAATCAAACTAAATGATTTTCACAGGGCTAACGAAACCACCGCATTTTCAAGCAGAACTAGTTAGTTGTTTCAAGGCCGAGGCCACTTCTTGGGTGAAAAGAAATCTTGTCTACATTTCACACTGTGTGAAATAAAGAGGTCAGAGAAGATTCGTTTGTGAAAACGTTTATATCAGCAGAAAAACGGCTGTCTTAGTAAGCCTGGTAGTTGTTAGTTCTATCACGGACTGTTTGGACCTTGTAAGCTAAAAGTGATCTGAGCGCTGAGCATGCGAGAAAATGAAACATAAATTTGTTTGCCTATAATAGGCTCTGAACAGCCCTCAGGACGCAATACATCAGTAGAGACACAGTGTCACACAGCTTAATGTACATGATCAAAAATGTTGAAGGCTGTAGCACAGTCAGCGAGCAAACGAAAACACTTTGTCGAATTTGCAATTGCATTTCTTCGCAAACATAATTTTGATGGAATTGATTTGGATTGGGAATATCCCATCGGGGTTGCCTCAGATCACGCCACTCTTGTCAAGGTTCAATTTTTCTTACATCTAATGAATCTTCAGATTTGCTATGACGTATAATGTCAAGCTCCAGATTCGCTTATGATGATTTTGAAATAGTTAAAAGTTTTAGGAGTTAAAAGAGGCATTCGTGAACGAAGCAGTGAGATCCGGAAGGGAAAGACTTCTTCAAACAGCTGCTGTTTCGGCTGGAAAAGATACAATTGATGCATCTTACGATATTCCTTCACTGAAAAGGTAAAAAAAAAA